GTACATTGTGAATTATAAATTTGAGACTTTATAAGTAACAAAGCCAGAGTAAGGAAATGGTTAATTATTGCCCAAAATAAGACAAAACATTTTACTAAATGATTAAAAATTGTGGAATAATTAAATAAATATGCAGTGTGTTTGCGATAAAATAGAGAAGATAACATTAATTCATTTTCCAAATTGTGCTCTTAAACGACACGAGTTCTTTGAAGCTCGAAGCCCCTCTAACTTCTTGCATATATGTGCAAAATGACCTTGCTCTAGGTTCCCTGGCTTGGAAGAAGGAAGGGGGGAGGGGGTGGATGGAGATTTGAGGCTATAACAAATATCAATGAATATTGATGATGGCGCACTCTCCTTGTCAATTGGACTACTTTTAAGGTATTTAAACTTAAGTTAATGGGGCAACACCGTTTTTCTGATGAGACAGCTAGATTTGTCCTAAACGCTCTCTTTTAAGAATTGGGTTGAATAGAAATGGTTGATGAAGCACGAGTACCGGAATCCTTGTTTTATTTGAATTCTGAGTTCATTGGAAGATTCTAATTTCATATATACGCTGTGATCCCATTATATTGCAAGTGGCCTATTTCATCATTTTAATTAGACTGTCTAGAAAATTCCATATTCGATATATTAAAAATAAGTTGTGTATTTGAATAATCTGTCATTTCATTTCTCCTCATTTTTATAGTCTTGAAGCTAATAATAAGCTGAGATCAAGGGTAACGATGTCTCAATATTTAGAAGCACAATAGAAACCAACGATTTGAAAAATAGTCATTCAAATGTAAACTGTCGCTCTTAATAAAATAACACAAAATAGTAGTGAAATCGAGATAATAGAAAAACTAAGATATTATTTAAATTCTTGCACTTTTCAACAACAATTTATTCAAACCAAGATTGAAATCGATTGCTTCGATAAACCATGGGTCCACTTATATTTCCAAATACCCATTGTGAAATTTGGCAATTAAATATTCGCTTTTCTCTCTTGATTTAATCAGTTCCTGAAGAAATTACCTTATAATGGAACCTTGCTTAAAGTATTATAGAGGGGAAAAAGGAGATTTCGTTTATATTCGCTTAGTTCCAAAATGACCTGTCACTAGGTTACTCAATTTGCATTTTATCATTATGAGGTGTTGATTTTTTCCTTCACTAATGAAAAAAGTGGTGTTTTTCAGCCAAATAAATTGAACTTCGCATATAAATGCACGAAATTTTCAACCCAACTAAGATGGAATTAATTTGATAATATTTTAATTGATCAGTTAAAATTCAAGCTGACGTATTTCGGTATATTTTTATCACATTGCAACTTTTATAAACTAATCTGGACTAAGGATAAAAATAGAAGGAATAAAGGTATTACCTCAATTCAAAAAAATACTAATTTCAATGACATCATTATTTAGAAGCCTGATTAGCGATAACAATCAGGCATTTATTAAAATAATTAAGCGGCACAAATAAATGCATTATTCCAATCAACTTAATACTAGGTTTCGAAATGCTTAAATTCAATTTAAATTTTTAATTAGATAATGAGCCTTATTATTGCAATCAAGTTAATTATAAAAATAATTACATTAATCCCTTTGTGTTAAATAGGTTTCTATGGATAAAATAATTATTATCGAATTTTCAGAGAACTGAAAATGAACAAGAAATATTATATAATTGGCAATTCCAGATTATGAAGTCAATCAGATAATCAATACTTTTAAATAAGAAAGGTCCATCAGATAACTTCTGCAAATGTGTGACGTATATGTATATCTCGATTATTCGAAAGCAAAGTAGTATAATTATAGAATTTCTTCCTTTCAAAATCAAATTCGTTAAGCCGTGATAGTTAAATCGGCAATTGTGCGCCTGGCTTGGGTATGAATGTTACTATGCTCGAGAGCAAGAGATTATTTTAATTAGTGGACAAGAGTTAGTTTAATTTCGGTTACTGGACTAATCTTTTCTTGCAAATTCGAGTTCTGTTAGTCTTCAATCTATACATCACAAAGATTGGAAATAGTTCTTAGGGCTTCAATTTAATAGGCAGAAAGCAGAAGTGCAATGCTTGAGTAAAAACAAATATACGCATTTTAAAAACATTGCATTTCGATCAAAATAGGGTGAAATTGATTAGTGAGGAAATAAAAAAACGCTTGAATCAAGAATTAAAGACTGATAGATTAGCTAAGCCTTTAGTAGTAAGAAGGAAAATCGATAACAATATTCGATAAAATGGAATGCTTTGAGCAAAAGAGAGGTGTCACTTGATCTCATTCAGATTATATAAACGCTAACGTAGCCTCAATCTAACCCTAATCCATCTTCTATTCAAGTCACACCAATAAATGCCGATATGCATACTTAAATTCATCGTAAGATGATTTGTTCCTGAAGATTTGGAAATTAATTTGTGAATTACTCCTAGCTATTTAACTGGGTAGTGATTAAGGCGTATCCTACGTCCACGCCTTCTAAGACTCATATTCAAGTTTGGGGAAAAAATGTGCAATCATTCACGTCGTCTAAGCATAAACGGAAATCTGTGTATTAGGAGAACTTGAAAAACGTGAGCTACATTCATTCGCTAATTAAATTGTTTGAGATATTTTTAATTGGAATCCAGTATGACAGTGTTGCTACATAGGCCACCATTTTAATGAACTCTGGGTGTTAACTTGAAAAGAGCAAAAATTAAACAAGAGACTTCTGAGTTTTCAAAGGTAGGCAGACCCCCGCCCCCCCCCCACCCCCGCCCTCGTATTTTTTCTGCTTTAAAATCAAATTTTTAATTTTAAATTGAAGTGAGACTAATTGTGGATAGTTCTTACTAGTGCTTTCTTGTCGTTTGCCATTTTGATCATTCTTTACAAAATTAACGAAATTCGTGCTCTTCAGTAAAATTAATTCTGGATATAATTAAATTTATAAACCATAAGCTGACAAATAAGCTAACTTGATGAGTTATAAATTTTGGTGGCTGTAAAAATATAATTTATATGCCGTTTCAATTCAATGCTATAGACCGTTCTCCAATGCAACAATTCCACCTCCAATCGATGCAAAGTTAAGTGAAGAAAGTTGTCGTTTTAAATGGCTCATCATTGCGAGTCAAGGAAATATTGAATCTACGCGACAGTCACGTTTATTCGTCTTGTTCAGAATAACTGAGAAGGTGCCCCGAGTATAATTTACATACCACTTCTTATTAATTATTTAAATATGGACGTCATAAAGATCATATACAGAATATGTTCAAAGAAAAAAACGATGCAAATAATTTTTGACGAGGAATCACGAACTTATCTACGTCCGTGTGAAAACTTAGAGAAAATTTCCATTTTAATGCCCGTAATGATTAAGTACCCTTGAATGGAAATGATTCATTTGTACTTGAATTTAAAATTGAAAGGAGAAATATTGAGAAAAAATCAATTATTTCCTTTAGTTTCTGCTAGAATAAGCAACTGATTCCTTCCTTCATCAATTTCCTCAGTTGCACTTTCAAGATTTTACTTTATCACTTAGTCCCGACTTTGATTTACGTACAAGGCCAGTTTTACAGCTATGTTTCATCAAAATCGTCTGAAGGACAATAGACTGGTAATGATAATAGGAATTTTTCACTTCAAACAAAAAAGTCCACAAAGCTAATTAATGCATTAATTCCGCCTACAAAATCTCTTAGAGCGCCAGAATAGAAAAAATACGTTTCGCCTTTTCAAGATATTGGTCAAATAAAATGTTTCCATATAAATGAAAATAGCCGTTGTATTTTCGCAAGCAAAAATGAGGCCACTTTTTCCAAATGATTTAAAGTTGAGAGACAAAGAGCCACAAACGAATGCGAAAGTATCGAGACTAAAGCCCCATTAATTGGATACATTTATCTCGGCAGATCCATTGGGAATTTTGTTTTTCAATGAAAAATAGGCCATGATGTGGCAAAACTTTAAGTTTTCTGTTATATAAGTGCATAAAAAAGAGAATTCTTATACGGAAAACCAAACATTTGCTTTGTAACTTTATTCAGCCAGTGCGGAAGCCTTTGACATCCTACAACTCCCATAATTACTTAATTTAGTTCTGGTAATTAATTACCAGATCATGTTGGTCTATGAATAAACGGCCATTTAAGGAAACTGTGACGATGTACAAACAAGTAGGGAATTAAATATGGTCGCTTTTGTAGTCGCTCCAAATTATATAGTGTGATCAACCTAGGAGATGTATGAATGGGGAATAATTGATTGCATAACCTTCAGAGGAAAACGTGGCACGTAGATTTACGCAATTAGCAAATGCATAAAAATATTGTTGGTCTGTCAAGGCTGAGAGAAGCATGAATTGTTTACTGTATTTCTAGGACCAAAACTATAAATTGTTAAAAGCATTTTGATAGAAGCAGAATGCACAGAATAAAAATCTCCCCGCGTTTAAATGTTCCAGAACGCGCCAAGAAGTTCGAAATCAGTCGTTTGAGTGATGAATAATTAAAGTAGTGTCCACCCAAGGAGCGCTTGAAAATGCTATGCTAAAAGTGCTCGAGAATTATGGGCAATTGGTTATGCATAAGCGGAATTTCAATTAAGGCCTCAACGACGCTCACTCAAGGACAACTTAAATTGCGAATCCGATACCTAAAATAAATCACTTGAGAACACGAGACGGATCTTTAAGTCAAATCGGAAGTCACCACAAGATCAAACACTTCGACTAACAGTGTAAGCTTGGTGAGTCTTAAGATTGCAGCAAGGAAAATCCCCATTGAGAGGTCAAGATAGTCAAGTCCCAGAGACTAATGATAACGTTGAATAAAATGCAGGAAACGTAAGCCATCAATTTCTACCGCGTTTTCTCCCATCGCCAACCCATTAACAAATCAAGGTAGGATATTTCAATATCGAAACAAGATAAAGCATGGGGGTATGGAAATAAAGGATATTTGAGAAGATTTCAGCCTTACCCTTCTTTGCTTTTTAGAAAAGGATCCCTACTTGAATCGCGAACAAAATACACAACCTGAACAAACTAAATCCCCCGAATTCCAAAGATTCGAGCACTTGGAAAGTGGTCTCCTAGTAATACAACGAGCCACTACCACCACTAGTTCTTCTACTAACATTCCCGTTTCCCTAATAACTTTAACTGTATCCTCATTTGTTAATTTCCTCTTCCATCTCTCGTCTCCATTAACTCTTTAAATGCCAGTTTTGAAATGTTGTATCCTTTTCTACTAAAATGCCTTAAGTATTACAAAGTATAACTCTTTTGAACTTGGAAGAGTGCATAACAAAAGGAAAACTGATTGATATTTGAGGGCAGCAGTGTAAGTCGTCCTAATAATCTGTATGTAATACGAGAGGATAAAGACACTCCACAATGGGTCTAGATGCTGTTAGACAAAAAGGGCTAGTAAATTAACAGTACTTATGGACATTTGTACCATTAAAGCTCACTTTAAATGTCATATAATGCTATTTCTATTGCACTGGTTCAGAAGCGAAATGTTTAAACGTTTCCAATCAAGCTGCACAGTTGACAAACAAAAATTAAATTTGCTACTATTACATTTTGAGTAGAATAACTTACATAGATGAAGAAAACAGGAACATCAGAATTGGCAAACAAACGATTGTTCATAATAAATCATTGAAAATTCTCAGTAAGACACACATTTGAAATAGTTGAAAAACGCTTACATAGAAGCTCATTATAATATAATAAATTTAAAAAGATTTAGGCAGGCCATGCTTAAGAATAACGTAACTTGTTACAAAAGAATGAATAAGCATACCAGAAATCCAACTATTGCATAACAATGCAAGTTATCTTAAACGAACAAATATAAAATTGATACATGAGTCATTTATTAAACAAATAATTACTACTTAAGAACAGTATGAAACTGGATTCACCTACTGTTAATCAAGGTGAATGATCAACTCAGTGTAAAATCTAATGATTATTTTGAAGATAAGCCTTCCTCTTCGTCCTGGCATTTTCCGCATTAGCCCAGCGAATAACTAGAGCAGCCGCAATAAATGCTAAAACAAATGAGTGCAAAATTATAATTTCTTACGAGACGAAACGATCAAAAACTTTTCACGAAAGCGACGAACGAGATTAGGAAATCCATGACTGAAAAATCCCTTGAAAGCATTAACTTCGTATGGCGAGATGCTATAAGTTATCACGCCTCTTCTGTAATGGAGTTCACCAAACCTCATTTTTGTACCAAGCGGTGTTTGCTGAGGTAACTTAAATAATTTTCACAAACAAATTAATTTGATAAACAATTGCTTAAGAGAAAATATATAGTTTAATCATTTAACTCTCAAATATCTCAATTAATATCTCAAGCTTAAGCATCTTAGAGACTAACACCTTATTATTTGTCCTTTAATTTACTATGACACCTTACTAAACGTTGAGTTGCTTATGAAGGCAGCCTCAACATCATTATTACCTTCGATTAAAAAAACTTAGTAAATCTTTGCCTTTTAATATTAGCTGAAATTTAATATTCATGTTATAACTTCTTTTTCGAAGCCTTTTAGAACATGTTAGCAATATTCTTATAGCCTTAGTTATATTAAGTTTTCGTATACTGTTAAATTTCTAACGAACAACGAATGAACACCAACGCAAGCAAATAATTATTGAGCACTCTCTGTGGAATATATAAACCTAACAGCAAACTTATAAGCACTCGAACATTCTGGAGAGTGCGATTGTGGTTGCCTAGAATTTTCCAGCTAATCAGCTAATAATATTCCTTCAAATTGCATTGAATATGTTCAATTACTAACCACATTTGTCTTGAGCATAATTTGTACTAACTTCTGCATTCTCTGTAGGTTCTGCTTCCTCGATATTTTTAAGATAGTTTAACTGATTTCGTAAGTTTTGCAAAAGAGTTTTGCCAGAAATGATTATTTACGTTTAGTAAAAGTTTATCTGTGTAGCAATCCGTTACGCCGCCTTCAGGATTAACATGAGGTATAATATGCTTATCTCTGTATGCATATGACCCACGTTTAGCCTTCTTTCACATTTGCACTTGCCCCAAGACTACGAGTCTTATCTCAAAAAAAGGTAAATTTATGCTATACGGAATTTACTGTAAGCGATTCGGTTTAAATAAAAGATAATTTACCAAACAGGAATCTAAATTTGGAATAAAAGAAACATCTCATATTAGAATTCGTTTCGGGTAAAGATAATATTAATTTCAATGTAGAAACTTTCATGAATATTTTGATATTTTAGTAAAATTCTCTGAAGTGTAGAGGTCTTGACCATGTTATTAACACTTACCGATACCTGTGATGAAAACCAGAATCCCTTCAAACGAGTGGATGGAAAAGTCGATCAGATTTACTGATAAATAAATCGTATTTATAATTGAAAAATTTGTATCTATTCGTTAGTAATATTTTTGAATATTGAATTTCAAATGCTTTGGTAGTTGGAGCCTAGAACACATGCAATTTGACTGCCTTGGATCACTTCAGTCGAAATATCATAAGTTAAGCTCAAAAATAATCTTTGTTATAACATGTATATTTATTATGCTGAACTGCAAAAACATCATAATATTTATATCCTCAACAAACTCTTACTTATCGGGAAAATTTATTTGATGTTAATTCGTAATATTTATTTCCTCTGAAAGACGTTCTTTTAACTACCAACAGCTCAATCCTTTGAAGATTTATGTAACAATTTGTTTGTTAAGACTTTCCTGGTGTGAATTGGAAGTCTTCGGTTCTTGTTCTGAAAGATAACGATATTCTGCTGTAAGTTTATTTATTTCTTCAGCCTGCATGTACACTGCCTTTAAGCGAGTATTTAAGTCTTCAGTTCTTGCATTTTGACTTCCGTCACTTCCTCTCTTCTGTTGCAAAATGAAAAATATGAATTTTAAAAGCTTCTTAAGATATTTTACATAGTTGATATATCTTCAAGTTGCTTTAACAACCAGATATATTCTTTTTATGAACGCCATGATAAATGTTATGATTAAAACCAACCGGATTGCGTAAATGCTTGTCCAATGCCTTGGATAGCGTCTGCATTTCGTTGAAGAGCATGAGTTTCTTCATCACTAGCCGAGTATTCTCTCTTAACTGAACAATGTATTCATCCCGGGCGTTACGCAACTTTTCTTCTAACTCCTTTTCTTCTCTTTGAATACGAGCCTGGAGACCCAATGTGCGTAGTGTCAATTCCTCAGCCTTCGGATGAATAGTTTCTAGTCGTTCAAGATCTTCCAACCTGCCGAACTTATCAATCATCATGGCATCGCACTTTATAACCATCTTTTGTAACTCTCCCTTGGTAAAATATAATTAAACCTTGAATATAGATACCATACCTGGAAGACCTTCTTATGGCGTTGGAACATTTTGTACTTCTCTTTAGCCTGGTGTTTTTCGTTTCTCAAAAGCGGTTTCTCTTCATCAAGTGATTGAATCCGATTTCGTAGCTGCTCCGCACTATCATTACGGAAAACTAGAACCTGGTCAAAATCGGATGGCAGAGAACCGTTTAAGAAATAATTAATTTGGTCCAGCCTGAGATTCACCATTCTTTCAATGATATTCAGTTTCCTCTGTTTTTCCAACTATATCAATAAACATATAAGACCATATTCTTCATTTAAATATTTAGAATTCTAAACGGAACATGATTCAACCGACCTGAAATTCTTGGAGTTCGACAGTTGCTTGCTGAAGATTTTGCTGAGCAATTTTGGCCTTCTTTGCAAGAATCTCGCTTTCTTTCTTAATGGTCTCTAATAAATGTTTCTGTTCGGTGATTTCGTCTTCCACATCCAAACGCATTTCGCGGAAGGCGACTGTTTGATCGTAATCAGTCTCAGGACAGCCAGGTGGACAAGTGTCGAGGTCATATATTCCAGTTCCACTCTCACCTTCGCCGATATCATAATCTTCTTCTGAGTCTTTGTATTCATCAGAATCATTCCATTCAGATATTTCAGATGTGAATGAATCAGAAACAGAAGACTCTTCGCTGGCATTTTCACCTAACAGTCATAAAGTTTAAGAAATTGGAATGAATTTGTAAAATTTATCAAACCTGCATTTGCTCCTTTGGCCTTTCTTTTGACCTTCTTTCGATAAACTTTCTGTAAAAAATCACTCCATGAATTACTCTCCCCCAGGAATGCCTTGAAGTCTTCGTAGACTTCATTTTCTTTCGCAGTGGTTCTTTCGATGTTTGCTAAAGTCGACTCAATTTCAACCTCATTATCTGCTATCTTTGTTAGAAAAAGTTGCTTTCAATTAAATGTTAACGGAATATAAATTATTTTCAAAATGGTGTAATAACAAAATACTCTCCTCTATATTTTGCTTATAAAAAATGTTAAACATTTAATTGATCAGTATTAATTTATAGATTAACTATTGAATTGTATAATTATAAAGAAAACCACTTAGTCGGATTAGTTAAATTACTAATGCGCAACTAAAGCGAATTTTACCTTTTCCTCTATGTCATTCTTTTCTTGCAACTTGTTATCATAATTATCTGTCAAGCCCCGTTCCTCACTTTCGAATTCAGATAACAGTTTGTACTCTTCGTAGAGAATAAGAACATTTAAATTAGCTCTCTTCATTAAGTAATCCAAGTTAACTTTCTGATGGCTCAATGTGCGTAATTCCATGTTGAAACAGCGTACCATTTTACCAGCCTCTGCAATCAAACACTTTTGTTTATATAGGGCTTTGGCATAGCGTAATTCCTGTTTCTTCATTTCAAGGCGTAGATTATCTTCCAAATCCGCTGATTGGGTTCGTTGAAATAGAACCGGAGACGCATGCATATCTGGATTTACATTTCCCGTATCAGTCGAATCGACCATAGTTTCTGGTTTATGCGGTTGGTGCGTCTCTAGCATCTGAATATTTTCATCAACCGTCACGTCCTCTGGGTCATTAACATATAATGGAAGTCCGAGGATATTGGGCTGATTTGGAACATGCAAATTCAGTGTGAAGAAGCACTTAGGTTTAAGCAGTAAGGCCATGGGAATAAAGATACCTGGCCTGTTATTAAACAAGAAAACAGTAAAATCCGGTATTTTTTCTGCCTTTGTTTCATCATCATCATCATTGGAATCCTGAAAAGAGAGGGAGTAAATGGAAATGTGTTAAAATGCACTTCCACGACAAACGATTATGTAACACGTGAATAATTTTCGCGTAGTAATAATTCGACCGACTCACACATGATTTAAAGGGGACGGGGTTAGGGTAGGAATGAGGAAATCTATCAATCAGTTACAGAACAATCATCACCACAACATCTTTAATCTCACTTCAGTTATACGTTAACGAAAAACTGACTTAAAGATTACACATGTATCCCTTATTTTCATCAAACTCAACTGCTGATCAGATCGCCTTCTCTTTATACTGCTGCGCACCGACGCTGACTAATTAAGCTCAAGTGATTGCAATTAAATTATGTTGAATGGTAAGAACCGTATGGAAAACTGAATGAAAGAAAAATTCAACAGTTATTCTCTGAATAATTGGCAACCTTAATTACATGCGAATTTTCTTGTTCTTTTATACAATAAAGAATGTATTAACTCGCAATGCTGTGAGCTTGCTGATCTCTGCCTCAATTGGGCTTTAGGATGGGTCATTCTGGAGTGTTCTACAAAATTAACAATCTCTCCTATTTCAGCAAACCTCTTTGTGTCGCGTTTCGCACATTTCCTTGGGGATACCTGCATGAACAACCTTACTAAGTCAAGATATACGAGAATCCTCTCGTTTCTTACCATCTGTTTGGCTTGCTCGTCGTTTACTTTTTCACTGGCTTTGAATGAATTCTTAAAAGCTTCTAGAGCTGCCTCGGTTGCGTCAAAGGCTCTTTCTGGAAATTCAAAATCATCTAGTTCCTCCACCTTTAGACGAAACGTTACTTCATTCGGAGGTAGGTCATCGGAAATCTGTTTGAGGTTCTCGTTTATTTTCTTCAGCTCTTTAATGATAAAGGCCTTTTTATCGCGTAGTTTTAATAGGCGATGATTGAAATCATCTTGTCTCTCTGAAATCTAAGGAGAAATGGATAAGTTAAAGAAAAACAATAATTTTACCTGTTCAATAGCTTCGAGTAGAGTCAGACGAGATTTCAAACCAGTGGTTTTGTGTTCATCGGACACAGCATAGTTACTGGAAGACTTGAGTTTATAGTCGCCCATGTTGTTTTTGACCTGATTTATTGCCGCAATGTCTAAAGGATCTTCCCATGTGTTAGATGGTTTCAGAGCATAGAGTTCCACCCACTATCATAGGTAAAAAGTTAATATCAAACTAGGTAAAACAACTCATCGAAATCATTCTAAGTGTGAACTTTCAAATTTAAATACATACATACAACATTAAAGGGTTAAAGTGACCAGTCATGACCTCAATATGAAAATCTGCTAATAGATAATAGCTCATTATGGAGTTAACTTCTGCGCCGTCTAAATTAAAATAAATATATTATTTGAACTTTGTAATTAATTGTTTATTCACTGGAAGAAAAACTACCAAAAAGACATAAAATTTTATCGCTTCCAGTTATCCACCCTATGCCAGTTCGGATGAAAATTTACATGGACAAATTTTTTCAAGGTCATCTAACCTGCTGACGTCTTTTTTCACGCTTCTGACGTTTGGCTTCGATTGCTTGTAGTTCCCGAACATATCGAAGACCCCGAGCCCCCTTGACTTTTGAACGACTGATTAAATCCGAACTGTATAGTTGGGAATGTTCTGTCTGTCGATGTTGGGTTCTTACTGTAATAGAATGCAATAAGGAAGTTAAAAATTTTCCAGTAACTGTGAAGCAATGATCTATTGCTGAAAGCCCGAAATTCTGTCATTTTAAAGATAATTAATTTCATCTCCTTCTACCTGAATATTTTGTCTTTCGCCTGTCGGCTTCAATCGCATTTTCCTCATTCACTGCTTCTTTTAGATGTTTCATGAGTTCCATATGTTGTTCTGGAAGTTTGTTCTTTCTTATCGTGCTCACTTTATCACTTGTTCCAAATGCTCTAAGTATGATATACTCACAGGAGAGATCCTTTCTAAATCTACATGCAATTATTATCAAACCTAATAACTTCACTATTTACCGGTCAATCAACTTCTGAAGAGCAATCGACTTTCTTCGGCTTTCAAACGCCGCTTCCTTGTTGAGAATGTCCATCTGCTCCTCACGTTCATTTAATAATTTATCTCGCAATTGGTCCAATATCTCATATTGCTAGCACAAAAAATTACAAATTGCAAATTTATGATGATCTATCTTGCATTGTCATCAAATTCAAAGATGAATTCACATACCCCACTACTGATACGCATATGAACAGGCAACCGTTCATTCATCTCCTTTGCCATCTTGAAACGAAGTTTCAACTCCGCGACTTGTCTGCGGGTCTCACGTTTCTTTTCTTCGCCAGCTTCAACAAGTTTATCCCATTCCATCTTTCTACGTGCCTGTTCAATGCTGAATTCGCTGGGATCTTGGATGTCATCTTGCACAACTGGCTCATGCTAAATGATTGAACAGCATTTGACAATAGTGTTTAAAACCAAGCTTTAGTATTTGTGTTTACGTATATGACTGTACTATTACCAAAGGTTTTAAAGGTATGATTTAACATACATTGTGAATCAAATCCGCTCTTTCAAACTCCAGACGATCGATTTCTTGACAAATATAGCCTACAACCTTGTTAACTGGTAGAGATCCCTTCACTATTACGTTTTATTTTGTTCGTTAACGTAAACTTATTTGGTAACCTCCAATAAGGTTGGTAAGTCACCTAATAGTCATTGTGAACGAAATTCCAAAATACTGTTATGATACATTTTCTCCGAGTCAATATGAGTTTTCGATAGCCTCGTGCATATAAAATGTTCGGAAATTGTTAGTAATATATCTGGATACTGCTAATCTGAAACAACCACCAACTATCAACTACGAGCGAGAGTTCACCTTGGACACACTTAAACTTCAAAATTTTAAAACTGACCTAAATTATCAATGAAGCTTGTCTAATTGGAATAAAAAATGCGATGTTGCATCAAAACATCGAGCCATGTTAATTGTTAACTCACACTAGATGAGGGCAATCTAGAAAGCATCTCGTTAACTTCCAGTCTCTGTTGATCCTCTGACATGAATTCAAGTGCAAATAAAGTTCCATCAGCTCCAGCAGTTACAATAAATCTATTTAAAAGCACATTTAACAATACTTTTTAAAAGCGTTTAAATGGCATGAAAGGTCAAAACAATGTTTAAATGCTTACGATTCATCAAATGTAAGGTCGAGACCCTTCAAGGCACCACGATTATTATCAGAAAACGCGTAGGTCCAAAATGGGCCCATTTCAGAAAAATCAAAGGGATTTTGCAACATTTGAATTCGGAGAAGACCGTTCTCAAATCCCATGATTACTCTGTTCCCATTGTGGCTGAAAGTCCAGGATATGAGTGGTGAATCATTACAATCAATGATACATGCAGATTGCAGTGGTTTCGTTGATCGAACACGAGGTAGAACAGTCTCTAGTTCAGTTAAAATACGGCCCTCTTTTGATTCAACCTCTAGTTCCTCGCTTGTTTTTGAGATAGGATCAGCTAGATCCATCAGTCCACATTTATACATGTAACCAGCATCACAATCTCCCTGAAATTTGGATAGGTAAGTATTTACATAGGTTCAGAAGTTTCATTTATTTAAACCAATTGAAACAAGTTAGTTGGTTTTGATTGTCAAAATTAATAGCATTTAATAGAAATTAATTGATATACCAGGTTTATCCATATGAGGTTTGGATCTTCGTGGCAAATAAATCCTCCAATAACTGGTGAGGGAATCTCTGGAACAATCACCTTCAAACGAGCAAGTTCATCCTCCAATTTGCCTTGAAGCCTCTTTTCATCTAAAAATAACAATTATGGGTTTGATCACAGATATTTTTCCTTTTATAATACCCACTTGCAACAGCCAAGAGAGTCGTTTTTTATTATAAAAAATGATTCTCTTATTAGGGGTTGGATGGGCGATAAATGGCAGACTTTCTAGTTAATAAATAACCGTAGTAATATTTGATTTAGTTGTGCAACCATAGCGCCCCAGTGTGATCGATTGTCCTGTGAGACAAAGCTTCTGGGGTTTTCGTGAGTGCAACGAAATTGTTCTATTCTACTGCCTCACAGATGATCTGGTGGCTTTGTGACATAGAACCTCCATCTTTGTCATGAATTCAAATTGAAATCCTTCAAAAAATGGCACTTGGCTATTGTAATCATTCGGTTAAACATAATGGAGTTTGCTTTGCAATATTTTAATAACGTTACAATCTGCTAAGTTAGTCTGCAAATGTGAAAGGTTTTATCAAAGGAAGCTACTCGCTAATGGAATTCAAATAAGAGATTACACCAGAGCTACATTTTACTGTCAAGCATTCAACACACCTTCATCAGCTTTAGCCAGGTCTTCTTCCTTGATATGACCTTCCTTAAATAGTTTTAGAATATTCTCATCTCGCCTCCTCTTTGCCTCCTTGTAAGCTAATCGCTTCTGTGCACTGGACTCTGCAACACGGAGGGCACCCGCCACGCTATCCATTTGAAAACCTCGGAGAGGTTTCACATCAATTATCTCGAAGGTACCTCTTTCAGGTGCTTCACGAACTGGAATAGATACCTGTAAGGAATTTTAACCGTTAAAATAGAGCGTCTTTGTGCAAAATAATACCGATTGGCATTAAAAGTGTGTTAAATCGGTGTAATCTCCCTTTCACTATATATTAGTTAACAGAGGTCCTTACTATGTCCTCATATTTATCGAACCCTATGTTTATACAGACATTTGCACATTCTAGTTAAGGATAAAATTCTCTTTCTAGCCTGTGGGTCAAAGGGCACTGCCGAATTCCATTCAGATCACGAGATGGAATTAGGGTAATTACTTCTATATGACTGCTTGTGCACTTGTACTCACATTGAAAATGCTCATTATTATAATCATTTGAATGAGTTTTCAACGTATTTTGAAAAAACGACAAAATTTTGGCGAAGTACCTCGAGCACGTAACTTCTTTCCATTAAAAGCAAGAGAGTGGGATTCGCGCCAGCGTCCGTTCTATGCCATTGGATCTTGAATGCTTTTATGGGAAGTCGGATGAATCCACTTGCAACTACATGGAGACCTTCCAGACGACATATGAAGATAGTGGAATCTTCACTCTAAAAAAAACCGCCACAACATAAATTAATATTTCTAGCGCAGTGCCGTAAACATTTTGCGGAAAACATATTTAATATGATGTTCGTCATTACTAATACCCATAACTGTGTGTTTGTTTTTATTTCATTTTGCTACCCAACAGAAGAAGCTGTCAAGCTGAATGCATCTAACGCAAATCTTTATTCAATCACTCCAAATAGTAATAGAGTGACAGCTAATGCAAAATATGGCATACCGATGTGGCGAAGAGTCCTCGTTTCGGATCTATACTCATAGATAAGATTGGGCTGGTGTGAGGTTTGAGAACTTGGATTAATTCAATATGCACCGCCTCTTTGGATATCTCCCGATTCTCATCAACAGCATCAGTAGTGATTTGAATAACTCGTATCACACCGTCCGCAAAACCAGCAATAAGTGTTTTGCCCTTCGGATCCACCTTAAAAGAAATTACTCAAAAACATGTATAAAAATAGTTTTAATATGAATCGTTTATAAATACGCACCTCTTGAGGCAACCAAATGAGGCATCGACCGCTAGAACTGAAATGTTTTTCTCCTACTTGCTGCTTCTTTGGTATGTCAAATACTCTTACAGTGCCTAAAGTTTTGAAGTGATGGACATTAAAAAGAAGGGGTAGCAATGAGATCATGTGGAAGTTAATTAATGTTCACCATCAGAACCGAGAGTAGTCACAATGTGGGATATTGGCGAGACTGCACACGCCATAATTGCTCCAGCATGGTAAGGCAAGATCAATTGAGGAGGTACTGCTCTGTGTGAAAAGCTAAGATCAAGTTTCCAAATTCCGTTCTGTGCATCCTGCATTACAGCAAAAAAAATGCATTGATTTATTAGACCTCTAAGAGGTTCGAAATCATTAACATATATCACTAACCAAGCAGTACCAGATAATTTCTTCGTTTCTTTCTATCCACTTGAGGGACATTAATTTGGCTCGCGGGGAGACTCGTATTTCATTCATTGGCTCCATTTCAAGCAGTGTTCCTTCTTCTTGAGCCTCAGCTTGGTCAATTGCATCGAATTCCCATGTCTTCAGTTTACAAAAAGTGATAAATAATCTTTAAAAGGAATAATAATTGTAAAGCATGAAAAGATACTAACTCTAACGAAGCCATCGGTACCAATAGTTATGAGTTCGCCCTCATAAAGTAAGATCTGCATGATAAGTCCATCGTGACAAGGGGCTTTGTTCTTTCGGGAAATTTGGACTTTGATCAAATCACCTTCCCATAGTAGAAGATTTCCCCATTCACAGCCTGACAGTACCTATCCAAAATAAAGCAAATAATAGAGGTTCTGTGGGACACGTTATCGCTGTGTGCGTTATCGTATGCCTGCATGTCTGCTCGCCAGAATTGGGAGGTGCGGCCGTTCAACTCTGTGTGCAGCGACCGTACAAACAGTGACCAATCATCAACCTCTGTTTAACCTAATCCCCCATCCTGATCATGAGTAGTTCCCCGCGTGTACACTTTAACCGCAATACCCGTACTGGATAAACGTGTTCCGTGCTACACGTCTGTTTCCTTTATAGCTGGGCTCTATAGCTTAACTGGTTCTGGGAGTCTAGCAAGATGTTGGGGGGTCTGCCATAGAGATTTCTGAGTCAGTCAGGCTTTACTAAGTTCTGACACCTTCCGGTAAATTAATGTATTAATTAGCGGAAATACGGAAAAATGAAATAAAATATTCTTTTAAAAATTATTTAAAATAAAAATGCAGTTTTTAATTTATCAGAGTGAAATATGGCATTTTTATTTTTCGCTACAGAGGACTCTCAATTGTTTCCATCATCATTAATTTATAACATACAAGAGTCCGTTGGATTTATCAAGGGATTATTTATTATTTGAAATTGTTTATGTAGTGCTTTAAATATTCAAAGCTTTCGAATCAGAATTTAATATTTTTAATATTACTAAAAAATACAGACTGTTGAGCAGAAATACATACCTTTCCATCAGGCATTATCAGAAATCCTTCAATATCAGAGAGTTCAACTTTGCCAAACTTTCCAATGGAACCTTGCAATTTAAGACCGGTAAAAGTGTCAGCCATTCGCCAAAACCGAATATGTCCAGAACCGGCTGTCACAAGTATGCCATGAAGATCCATGGACCATCTAACTCGAAAGACCTCCTGAGTGGAGGCTTTATTCCGTAGAACTATTTTCTCTTCACGCCAGTCCCATATAGTCAAAAGATAATCTGGTTCATCACCAACTGTGACCAACAAAGAACCATCAGGACTGAAAGAAGGAATGCAGCAATTAGTATGGCCTTTTGTTATTATTGGCGTTTAATTAACTAATATTAGCATGGGCTTATATTGCATTATTTAAAACGGATCATTTTTCTTTAAATTGCGTTATCAGAAATCAACATTCTCCCAATTCAAATCGGTCACCAAATAACAGGAAACAGGAACTCGTTCCGCAAAGTTAGCTCAATTTTTGAAAATGGTTCAATCATATGATAAACGATTCCGAAAGAAAACAATAATATTTAATAATAACTTACGAAAACTGACAGGAAGAATAAGCCGTCTGAGTTCCCTCCGTTAGGATTCGGTACAGTTTAAGACTGGGGTATTCATAAATGCATACATTTGGCTTGCTGCCTTTTTCCGCAATAGCAATATACTTTTTCTCAGTGTGAATATCTACGGCTCCAATGCCCAAGCCACTGGTCGAACGAATAAAGCTTCTCTCACTTGTTATGATATTGTGGATCTCAAAGTAATTTCCAACTACAAAACCAATGATGTCGACGTCGAGAAGATGGAGGTTATCTCGACGGAGTGTGTCACAACCAAAGGATTGATAAAGTTTCACTAGGTCTTCTGGCAATCCGCTGTCTTCGGGCATGTGAGGTTTTGCCACAATTTCCTCAATGGTATAGAAGAAGTTCTCTGGGATATGAATATTTATTTCCTCAACTTCGCCATTTTCTCTTTCAACCCCTTCCTCGTTAATGGGAATTTCCTCATTTGGAGAAGGCTCTTGATTTTCATTTGGAGTCTCACTATTTCTTCTGCTCATATTTTATCTATTTGTTGCAAATGAGAAAAAATTGTTTATTATTTGATCAAATTGAATAACACCTCTGAAACTTCCCAAATTATCATGCCTCAGTTATTAATTTTCATTTAGTATAATGCATATATATATAGTGTGGTCGTAGATGGATTTATTGAAATGTGTAAAAGATATTTTACTAATTTTGATATATATGCGTGTGCGATTCTTTCCATGGCTTTAAAATGGCATACCTTAAATATATTAAAGCCATTCAAAATATTTATCATAACACAGATATGTGCTTCAATATATTTTTAACTTTATTTGAACTTAAGCTAAAATAATATATTTTAAAACTGGCAAATGAAGATTGAGCATTTAGCCACCATAATTAAAATTAGCTCTTCATACATGATTTTTTAGTTTTGAATGAATAGATATGTGAATCCAATGTTAAATTAAAGTCAAAATTCAACTATCCTACTACTAATACATCTACTTATTTGGGTACTGAAAAGTAGTGAAGTTAAAAATATATTAATAAAATCCCACATTTATTATATTTCGGAAAAGCAATAAACAAACTAGCCATGGATTTGGTTAGCTTAAACAATCAAGGTTGATTAGAGGCATAAAACTTATCCATTAGCCTAGAGCTATTTATATAACTAAAATTTTATTTTTTCCCAACAATACATAATTAATACTTTCATAATTACAATTTTAAGTTGTTTTTATTTCTAATTATTCATTTCTAATAGTTAATTTAATTTTTTTCAATAATTACAAACCATGAGAAATTATTGATGTCACCAAAATATTTTGTGGATTTTTACGTTTTCAGTGTTGTGGATGTTATTGGAACAGGAAAAGGACGTTACTCTTTTGACTCAGACAAGTTTCCTTTTTTGGACTGCCTTCAGTATCGTATGCCCCATAGCGGTCAGTTAAAGAACTCCAAGTATTTATTGCCGTAGAACACATCTATTTATGAAAGTTATTTGAAAATTTTGCTTTCCATTACTTTCATTTTTACATAATTTTGTAATACTTTTGGATAGGTCCTGAAAGTAAGGAAATACTAGAAATATTGGCAGAGAAGTATTATTGTGTAGAAGAATTAAGTGAGTTAGCATCTCATTGCGTGACACTGGTAATTTTGCATATGGTGTTTGTTGATTACTTCAGGTTTCAAGAATAGCTAGTAGAATTGTTCCATAGTATTTTTGTTGTATTTACCCGAACATTGAAGTTTTTTACGGATTTGACATTATTTAAAATGGTATCGTTCTTCAAATTAGCAACCAGTTGATATGTCCTTATTTCAATGTTGCGAGTCAGTTCTCGAGTTTGGAATATTCATTTTAAACTTGACTTACTAATTAGGCGTTTGTATATGAAGTTATGAAGAAAATTGTATTCCAAACAGCTTATTGTGTATTTATAAAACACTTTGACTTTGAAATCAAGAAACATGTTAACATTACATTTAGTGGATCTGACTTTTAAACAATATTGATCATTTCCTCCGATCAAGAGAAAATTATGTCTTCTGATTTTATTGCTTACCGACCACCCAAAGCTCGTTCAAATAATATGTTTTAAACACATCTCTTGTATAGATAACAAACGTTCTAAAGCCTTTCGCGAAATTTGCGGATTTTACCTGTTTTCAGCCACTTACTAAGCCGATAGTCTCTGATTCCATTTCACTTGTAGTAAAATTCGCTAGTGATCATATGTCACTTTATCGGAAACCACGGACTCTCACTTTTTAAACCTGAAAGTGTATGAGCTGTTTAACCTTAAATGCTAGTAGTCAGAAATATCAACTCCATCCCATGTGGGCGTCTGTTTATCAATAAAATTTGTTCATTCAATTTGATCGCTAACATTTGCATCAAACATCTAGTTACACTATTTAGAAGCGCAACTTTCCTAATTTCATTTGTTTAATGAAAGTAAAATGGAATATGAATTGCATGGAAATATTAGGGATTGTGGTTCTATTTATATCAATTGGAATACTCCGGGGAAAATACTTTTGAGAACCATTATGCAGGGGAGAACTTATAGTGGATTGCCTTAACTTATTTTCAGTGGTCTCTTTGGCATGATCCTCTTGTATGGAGAGACTCCCCAAAGTTAGCCAAGCTACCTCAATGACATAGTGAAAAGAGAGCGTATAGCTTATTTGGGCCACGTGTGGCTAGAGTGGATGCTTTAATGCAATTTTGTCCACAATGGAAGTGCGGTCTCTACTGTTTATTGATTGTCTGATATGTCTTTGTACCCGTGACCTGATTTGGTCCCTAATCCGATCACCATCACGTCGAGCACGCAAGTGATTGCTTAGTTTGATCGTGTTGTGAGTGCACACTCCACAAATGTAATTAAATCAACGCTGAACTAAACCTCAATTCGAACCTGAACTTACAGTTCATCACTGCATATTAAAATTAAACCCAATCTGATTTACTTTAAACGTAATAGAACCTATTTGCTGAAAGTGTTCAGTGGATAAGTATTTTCCCCACATCTTTATCATTAGCATAGGTCTGTAAAGACCTCCATACTGAGGGAAAGTATGCCATTAATCTACTGAGTACGTACTAAATGTCCACCAAACTCCTTATTCTAAGTAGATAGGAAAATCTTTATTGATTTTGATTAAATCGTTGTTTTACCAGTAAAATAAGATTTAAGAGAACTCGAAACTCAAACAGAACAGAAAGGAATCACTTGTCAATCAATCGTGAAATCAGTCTTTGGTATTGGTGTAAAAATTCTGTACCTTTGGTTAACTTTGTAACTAAGCTACGAGGAACGAACAGTCGGTAAACTGTGCGTATTTGCATACTGAATTAGGCCACGTTTCGTGCCTTTTCTTCGTAAAAGACGACTTTGCTTGGAGTGTCGCGACAGTGTTAAAATTGTGTGCAAGCTTGCAAAAATCTATGATGTAAAGATGACTAAACCAGGACTGAAGTCACGCTGCTTCGACCCAGCTTTCTAAGTCCTAACTATTTTTAAAGAAGAAACCGAATTACAAATTTATTACTCTACTTTAAGCTAAACTACCGGTAAAAACTGATACCATACTCACTGAAATATTAATACGGACACCTTGATTATACGCCACAGATAATATATAGATAATATTTACGAATTCTGCTGTAAATATGACGGAAATATTAATTTGTTTATTTTTGCAATCCTGCGACAGATAAAGTTGACTAGTGTCTGAAGCCTAGTTTAAATAAACATAGCTTATGGTTGGTAATCTGGTTGATTAAGTTTGAAAGGCGATAACTTTTTGATTAATCCGGGATGTTTGTTCGAATTTAGAGCCAAACTTTTCTTTTGTGGTTGTTCCAAAATGGATAAATTTGCGATTTTTAAACTCCCTCATACATATATATATTTATATTTATGAGAAAGTAGCAAACAATTCCCCTTATGAAAAGCAAAATTTTATTTATGTTCTTTCTCATTTAGATTGAAATTGTTAATTCAAAATAATTTGAATAAAGCTATTTTACGCTGTTCTTCTTCATGTTGGGGCATCGATTGGTATATCCTGATTTGCCCCTAATGGGGTTTGAGGTTTTGAATGCAATTAGAATTAGCTATTTTCCAAATCAATTCTAATTATTAAATAACTTAATAATAAGTCAAATGATAAATATGGAAGAGTACAGTTTGGACGCATCAAGCATTCCTCTAACTAACCAGGGAATCTCAGATTGAATAACCAAAGCATAGCAGTTTTAATCAAAATCGACCAGAAGCTACCAGTGCTGGCTGACTCAAAGACCGGCTTTGTTTTATTTGATTTTCGCCTACTGACTAATAACCTTTGCTCTAAATGTAATTGGCCAGTCAACGAAAATAGTAAACGAAACCGGGATATTCCCTCCTTGTATCTCATTACACTTGTTTTCCCAATCCGAATTGTCCTCACTCAATACTGAGATCTCTTTCTTTCTTCCAAATTCCTCTTTTTACCCTTCTCATTCATTTACACTTTTCCCATACATGTTTGACCAATCAAATTCTCGGGCATTGCACCTAAATAGTCTTTGCCTTATTAGTCTAGGTTCTAGGGTGGAGTGTCAGAATTAATTTGGTGGGGCTCCTAAAGTAGCTTCACTAGTGTTATTAGAGCTAATTTACCCTCTCCGAGGCCATTTCTACCTGTGCCACTCATGAATATATATCCCTATTTCATGATATTAGATATAAGGTACATTCTACGTGAATGAAAAGCAAATTAGGTAGATTTCTCATTCCTGACCATCACCAATCACTCAATTTTGCATTCTTTCGTTTAAACTCGAGTCTAGACCTGTCATTCAAATCATAAGAGTCACAATTTCATGGTCAAAAGTGAAATCACCATCTAACATAACTTGTAAACTAAGAAGGGAATAATCCCTATTTCTTTGCACTTGATCGATAATCTTCATGTCGGAATGGCTGAAAATGCTTGCTTGTTTGCATTAAGAGAAACATTTTTCCATAGACTCAATATGCTGGAAGTATTATTAATAAATAAACGCATAATCAATGTCTGAAATCTATCTACGATATAATGACAGTGAATTCATGCAAAATTTAAGTGGATAGTTATTGACCCTTAGGAAATCGCTTCTCATTATTAGGCCCATGGTGGGTATCGGATCAAAATTTTAATGCATGCACCAATCTAACTCCTAATAATGGAGCTCAGTGTAAGAAAGTAGGTTTTTATAGTAAAGGCAACAAAGTGGAATATGTTTGGCAATCATTTATTCAGATTTCGATCAAAAAGGCGACAGAGTGGTAATCTTTTTTACTTCTTCTAGTTCACGAGTTGGGAATGCAAATCAAGCAGGTGCATTAAACAATATTTTTCACAAATAACTTTTTGAGTCGCCTTAGAAACCGCTTCAATACTTAAGAAGATTAGATCAACACTGAGAAGGTTGCTGCCTTAAGAACTAAAAGTTAAATGTGAAATTCGACTTTTACTTTGTTCT